ACAGCATCTGACTGCTAACCAGAAGGCTGGTGGTTCAAACCCACCAGCCACTCCTCAGAAGGAAGATTGGGCAATCTACTTCCGTAGTGATACCACCTTGGAAACCCAAGGAGGGGTTGCTGTGTGTTCGATCCGACTGGATGGCAGTGAGTTTGTTTTTTGCTTTACTGGAAGTAGCCTGGAGTAGGGATTGAAAGGGAGAGAGCTGGGAGACGGGGATGTTCATGAGGAGTGGAGCTTGCTATTTCATACATCTTTTGTCCAGTGTTCTTCTGCTCCAGCTGCTCTTTAAACATAGTGTCTCCCACTGCAGCTCTTTCCTCCTCCTTTGACCTGTTTTTCCTCTGTGATGGTCTCTTTCACATGCTTGACTCAGACTACCTCAAGGGTTCCAACATGTCTGTCCAGCCAAGACCTTTGTTCTGAGCTTTCAACCTCAGGAGAGTTTGAAGTCTTCATCAAACATCTCCCTTTGGGGCACAGGAGGGGAAGTCAGGGGAGCAGGGAGAGGTTGACAAGACCAGGAGTGCATTTAAGAGCAAACATTCCCATGACCAATGAACAGAGTTATTGTCTCTGGAGTCAGTAACTCCTGGCTATGGTGGCTGTTTCCCAACTGGGTCTTGGAGGAAAGCTATTCTTTACACCTTGGCTCTGCAGACTTTGTTCCCTGCCCAACAGCTCCTGTTGTTGTCATTGTTGTTTGCCTCCCAACTGATGAGGACTCCATGCACTAGGGAGTGAGCACGCCTGGACCTGTGTTATTCACATGATTAGTTGTGGATCAGACCATCCTGACCCACAGTTTTAACTGCCTGATTTTCGGTAGATTTCCAGGCCTTCCTTCCCAGTCCATCCAGTCTAGTCTGCACTCTTCCTATCACGTGACCTAAGGACCTTGGGACACAAGCCTGCAGAAGTCTCCAGGGTGCCATCTGGCCTGCAGATTTTGAACTCGCCCACCCTGCACAACCTGTGAACCAGCAGAAATCTCCAGCCTGTTGCCTGACCTATGGATTTTGGATTTGGGATTTTCCACAATAGCATGAACCAATCCCTTGAAGCAAATCTCTCTCTACATATATATCTTCCACTGGTTCTGTTTCCCTAGAGAACATCTCAGTCTGGAAACTCCGCTAAAACCTGTCCAGCATCATAAAAACATGAAAAGCCTCCACTGACAGATGGGTGGGGACGTACACTGGCTGGGAATCGTCAAACCTGGGTCTCCCACGTGGAAAATGAGAATTCTGCCATGGAGTCACCATTGCCTCCATCGTCAGTTCCTAGAAGGGTGAACTCCTGGCCCCTCACCTCTGTCTTGGGGCAAGAAGGCTGGACCTGAAGGCAGAGAGGACCTCTCCTCTCCTAGGGACAGATAGACTTGGGTCTTGGGAAAAAGCCCGTTCATCTTTGCTTCCATCTGAAAAGTAGCTTCCACTGTGGTTAAGCACCCAAGCTCTGGTGGCTCCAACTGTGCATCAGTTTTCTTGTTTGCAAAAGTACCTGAGCTATTAGGTATATATAGGAGAAATGAAAGCAGGAACACACATCTGTACATCAGTGTTTATCACAGCACTTTTCACTATAGACAAAAGGTGGAAATAACCCAAATGTCTATCAGCAGATGAATAGATAAACACAATATGATAGGTACATACAATGGAATATTATGCAGCCATAAAGAGAAATGAAATTCTGATGTGTGCCATTACGTAGACCAACCTTCAAACCATTATGCTGAGTGATATAAATCAGTCTACAATCAGTCTGCATGATTCCATTTATATGAAACAAACTTATATAAACGTATATGGAATAAATATATAGAAATCAAGGATTATTAATGATACTGGGGTGGGAGGGAGGAGGAGAGGGGAATTTTTATTTGGGGTGCATTGAGTTTATGTTAATAGTGGTAGAAGAGTATGGAAAAGGATGGCAATAGTGATGGCACAACATGAAAAATGTAATCTATATCATTAAATTGGGAGCTCTGGTGGTGTGGTGCCTAAGGCATTTGACTGCTAACCCAGAAGGCTGGTGGTTTGAACCCCACCAGCCACTCCTCGGAAGGAAGATTGGGCAATCTACTTCAGTAGAGACACCACCTTGAAAACCCAAGGAGGGGTCACTATGAGTTGGATTGACTCCATGGCAGTGCGTTATTTATTTATTTATTGAATTGTAAACGTAGAAGTTGTGTTGGCGAATGTTTGGGTGCATGTATTTCCAGCACAATAAAAACCGAAACAACAAAAAATGTACCTGAGCTGTGAGAATTAAATGGGCTGATGGAACTCAAGAGCTTAGCAGAATCGCTGGCAAATAATAGGAGCTCAATAAATATTAGCAATTATTAGTGCTATTGTTGCTACTCTGGTGGCATAGTGCCTAAAGCATTTGACTGCTGACCAGGAGCCTGGCAGTTCACGAGCCACTCCTCAGAAGGAAGATTGGGAAATCTACTTCCATAGAGATACTGCCTTGGAAACCCCAGGAGAGGTCATTATGAGTTGGATTCGACTCGATGGCAGTGAGTTTGGTTTTAGTTGATGCTAGCTCAACAAACTTTTCCTAAATGCCAATATTGTACTCTGTGCTGTCCAAATCTGTGGAAAAGTGTTAAGACATAATTCCTGCCCTCAGGGAGCTCACAGTCTAATGACAGAGACAGACAAGTAGATAAAAAATTATATCGGGGGTGAAAAATTCTGTAATGAGGGAAGCCCCAACTTTCTGGGGGCAAGAGAAGGAATTAGAGAAGACTTCCCAAGATGGTGATGTTTGTGCCTGGTCTGGAAGGACTTGGGAAAAGAGAGCAGGCAGAATTCGGCAAAGCAGGAGCACAGCCCTGAGGCTAAGGGCCAGGCAGGAGCCTGAATGGCTGGAGCCATGGGGTACATGCATGAGCATGTGTGTTGGGAAGAAGTGGGTGCCTTCTGCTCCAAATCCTCAAGGCCCTACCTTTGACAAGCCCAGCAACAACTCAGCCCCAGCTGGAAGTGTTCCTGGCTGTGGCGTCAGGCTGAGGCCGAGCAATTCCTTGAATCTGCAGGTACAGCCCCCACCCCTGCTGCCATGGGGAGGAGGAGGAAGCTCCTCTGGGCAATGGTCCCAGGCAGGCATCCACTAAAGTTTCCTGTCGGCACCAGCTGCGGCCACTTGAGCCCAGAGTGGACAGGAGCCAGGCTCACACACTCCATAACCCTGGCTTCTGAGCCCACTCCTCAAGGAAGTCCCAGCCAGCCTGAGGTCATGGTGACTTTCTCCCTGTGGGATGGCAGGTCTGCTGACAGTGCCTGGTCCCATGAGGTCTAGTGGAACTTCTGACCACAGGCCTGGGGTCAGCTTGGACCTGACATCTCTGGGTTCAGACAGGGTCCCCGCAGCACCTACTCTTTCACCAAGACTCCTGCCTCCACTAGGAGTCATCTCCAAGAAGTCCTGAAACGCAGGCCTTTCTCCAACCCCTGGATGAAGGACTTCCTTCTCTCCTAGGGCCTGGATGTTGTATCTCCCCCTCTTTTCACCCAAACTGATATCATCCTTACCCTCAAAAGGTGTGGATACAGATACAGATTGAATACAAAATGAGGGCATGATAAAGTACACAGGGTCTGCAGTCACACTGCCTGGGTTCTAATTCCAGCTTTGCAACTTCCTGGCTGTGTCACCACGGGCAAGAAATTTAATTTTTCTGTGCCTCAGTTGCTTCATCCATAAAATGGGATAATCATGCATACTTAATGCACTAATCCAGGTCAGCAAACTTCTTCTGTAAAGGGCCAGATAACCAGTCTTGGCTCACAGGCCAGACAGATAACCATAGGATTCGGCCTGAGGGTGGTAGTGCACTTGGCCCTACACTTGTTGTTGTTGTTGTTATGTGCCATCGAGTTGGCCCCGACTCATCATAGCGACCCCTAATGTATGCTAAATGCCTGGAACACTGTTTTTGTAACATCACTAAGCATCTACTATGTGTTTTCTTCCCAGGCGTCTCTGGGTGAACTCAAATCAACCTTTGGTTAGCAGTGCGTACATCAACTATTTGCACCACCCAAGAACTCTATTAATCACAATGGGTGTGAATATGGTATGAAGTGGGCTGTCCCAGTGGTTGGCTTGCAGGGCATTGTTGCAGGGCAGGCCATTGGTATGGGAGGTGGTCTGCCTCACAGCTCAGGTACAGTGAGTGATGGGACAATGGGTGACCACTGAGGCTGGTTGATAGGAAGACCAGCTAAGAATGGATTATGGGAGACAATCCTCTATGTCTTGGACTATCATTGGACAGACGAGTCCAGCTCTGCCCTTTAAATGGTCCCTGCCCTTCCCCGGATGGGTAAGGCACCCAAGACACTGTCTCAGCTGCCCGAACTTCTTCCTCTCCCCTCCCTGCCCCAGAGGAGGACATCATGCCATACCCCTAAACCTCTCTCCACTGCACCCCTCTCCCACACACTCTCCGGAGCCCTGGACCAGGTCCTGGCCTGAGGGCACAGAGGAGACCTTGCCTCACGTCAACAATTAATAACAGTTTATTCACTAACTGCCAGCTCCAGGGCTGGCTTCCTCTGTCCCAAGCTGTCCAGCCTGATGGCTAAGATCACACACTTGGGTGCCAGCCCACACTGAGGAGTGCTTCAAAAGAGTCATTTTCTCTCAAGGCCCAACGAAGAGCTCTGTTAGGCCTCTTTTTTTTTTTTCCCTGGGCCGGCTCCATTTCCTCAACCTGTAGTCTCTTTCCATGTGGATGTGTGAAGAATTTGGGCCCAGGACATAACTAGCCATGGATGGTTGTGAGTGTTGCTGAGCAGGGTCCAACAGGCCTCCTGCACACACCCAGGCCCAATCTTGTTCAAAGGAGGCTTTTAGCCATTGTCTCTGAAAAGTCTAGAGGGGGTGCACAGGTCCTGCTCTGTGTCCAGAGACAGGGCCTAAGTACTCAGACCATGGCTGCTGGTTCTGACTAGATCATTCTGTCTAACTCTGCCTCAGGACTCATCTAGCACCTGTGTGTCTGTCAGCTGGCTGGAAAAGGCCCTTTCCAAGCGCAGGGTGTTGTACTTGGGCGGTGGAGTGCCAGGCACCTGAGTCCTTAGGGCTGGAGGCAGGCGCAGAGCGGAGGTGAAAGTGGGCGGATCCTCATCGATATGGAGGGCTGGATTGTCCTGGCCCTGGGGCCTGAGGGCAGCCTCAGGGCAGGGCGGTGGCTGCCTCCGGGCCCACCATTCCTTGGCTTTCTGCCACTGGTGGCGAGTAATGATAGAGAGGGAGTCTATGAAGAAGACCTCGAAGATCTCAATGATGCAGACAACAGAGCAGCTCATCCACAGGCCCAGCTGGCCACCAAAATTAGACAGAAGGCTTGGGATCTGCAAGAGAGGTCAAGCCACAATCATCAAGAGGGACCCTGATTCCCAAGGGAGCCACAAGCATCTCTGGAGGAAGAAGCAGCAGGCTCCCTGACCCTTCTTACCCCACCCTCCCTGACCTGAGAGCTGTCTACAGCAGCCCAACTGGGCTGGGCTGGATCTGCTCCCCAAGGCCAGGCTGGTGGGTACAACTGACAACTCAAAAAGAAGCTACTCACTGTGTTGTCTGGGTTCTCCATGACGGATCTGTGGTTCAGGTCTTTGTAGAATATCAAGAGTTTGGCCAAGTCTGTCCTATAGAAATTCCAACAAGCAGGGCTCAGGTAAGCTGGAAGCCTTGGCATTCACCCAGGTGACTGGCCCCTCTGCCAGGCTGTCTCCCTCCTTCCCAGTTCCTAGCATTGCCCAGACTCTGAGATCCCTGGCCCACAAGGCTCCTTCTGCACCCCAGAGCACAGAACACATCTCCAGTCTGGGCCTGGTTGCTAATGTCATTAATTCACTCCAAAACCTTTTCCTAACTTCCACTCAAGTCAGTTCACCCAGTTATACTCTCTACCAGGACCCTGCTTTTCATTAGACCTGGTTGCTTGTCATTGTTCCATTCAGGGACTGCAATCTCAAATCCCTACAGGAGACAGGCAGGTAATATGAATGAGCAAGGTAGGCCGGGTATGAGATAATAATGATACTAATAACAACAATAACAGTAGCTAGCATTTATTGGGCACTTCCTGTGTTGCCAAGCACCGTTCTAAGAACTTCGTGTGAATTAATTCATGCAATTCTCAAGAGGTATGTATGTTGTTTGTTTTTAATAATTTATTTAATTTTTATTGTCACTAAGAACATACACTACAAAAACAAACACCAATTCAAATTTCTACATGTATAACTCAGTGACACTAGGGACATTCTTTGAGCTGTGCAACCATTCTCATCCTCATTTTCTGAGTTGTTCCTCAACCATTAACATCAACTCACTGCCCCCTGAGGTTCCTGTCTAATCTTTTGAGTTGCTGTTGTCCATTTGATCCCATACAGATAGATCTTAAAAGACTACAACAGTCAGGCAGACATTCTTAACTTAGTTACGCTAAAGTAGCATTTGGTTTTACAGAGACTTCAGAGGATATTTTTGCTTCTAGGTTTAAAGACTATTTTAGGGCAATAGTTTTGGGGGATCACCCAGCCTCCACAGAACCCATGAGATTTGGAAATTCTGTTCTTCATCCTCCCTCTTTTGATCACAATTCTCTATAGAATCTTTGATCAAAATGTTCAGTAATGGTAGCTAGGTACCATCCAGTTCTTCTGGTCTCATGGCAAAGGAGGCAGTGGTTCATGGAGGCAGTTAGCCACACATTCCACGTCCTCCTGTTCCTGACTCTCCTTCTTCCTCTGTTGCTCCAGATGAAGAGATCAATTGCTGTGCCTTGGGAGGTAGGTATGTTTTAATCACCCCCATTTTACAGATGTGGAAACTTGAGGCACAGATGCATTAAGTTACTTGTCTAAGGACACATAGCTAATTGGGAGCACCAGGATTCAAATCCATGTGTCTTGCCTCAGAGTCCATGCTCTTAACTGCTGCATTAAACTGTGTCCTAATAAGACTACAATCACCATTTATTGATCCTGACTCTTGGTGACCCCATGTGTGTCAGACAACTGTGCTCCATAGGGTTTTCAAAGACTAACTCTCAGGTTTTTCTTCCAAGGTGCCTCTGGATGGACTGAAACCACCAACCTTTTGTTTAGCAGCTTTTAGGAAAAAGTGGAAATAATGGTTTGCTTTTAGGGGCTAGATTTGGCCTAGGGTGTCAGTGGTTTGCAATACTAGGTTTAATGGTTTGCAATTGCTGGCCATGGTCTGTCTTTACCAATAGACTGTGAGCACATGAGGGCAGAGACCATGTCTGATATCATCGCTGTACTCCCAGCACCTTACCCAGCACCTGAAACCTTTAGAATGTTCACAAAATGTTGGAGGCTAAACTGGTTCCCTCTGGATCCAGGCCCAGTGGTGGCTACTGCCAGGATGGTGATGGCCCAGAGAGATTGAGTTCACCTGGTGGACTCCCCACCCTCACCCACCTTGTTCTCAAATTGCTAAGGTTCTCCCAACTCTGGTCTGGCTGATTTTTGGTAAAGGTCCCTTAGGGAGGAATTTCTAGGTGGGATTCAATTAAGATTAGAAACTGCAAAGCTCAGAGAAGTATTTTTCAAATTAGGTCAAGATACTTCAATGGGCCATGAAATAAATTTACTAGACTATGATCAATATCTTTTACAAAATGAAGTAGAATAGAAAATGCCAGATGACATCCAACATGATTTTCAGAATACCTATCAACTGGTAAAGGAGCTCTGGTGGCATAGTGCCTAACGCATTTGACTACTAACCAGAAGGTTGGTGGCTCAAACCTACCAGCCACGTTGGGGAAGGAAGATGGGACAATCAACTTCCATAAAGATTTACCGCCTCAGAAACCCAATGGGGGTCACTATGAGTCAGAACCAACTCTATGGCAGTGAGTTTGGTTTTTTTGTTTTGTTTTATCAGCTGGTATGGTGTGGGCAAGGAAGATTGGGTAATCTACTTCCGTAGTGATACCGTCTCGGAAACCCACGGAGGGATCTCTATGAGTCAGATCTGACTTGATGGCAGTGAGTTTGGTTTTGGTTTTTGTATGGTGTGGGCACTAACCAATCAGAATGGATGTCATGATCAATCAGAACAGACCTTGTGACCAAGTAGAATGGATATAGGAGTTCCTGGGTGGTGCAAATGCTTCAGTGCTTGACTACTAGCCAAGAGTTTGCTGTTCAAATCCACCCAGAGATCACTTGGAGGACAGGCAAGGAAATCTTGAAAACCTGCTCACATGGGGTCACTATGAATCAGAATCAACTCCATGGCAACTAACAACAACAGCAACCAGAATAGATATAAGCAATTGGATTGGCAGACCAGAGGGACCACTTCAAGCTCAGCCCAAGTGCACTGCATATCATAAGGAAGTATTGTTTCATGAGATTTTTATTTCAGTTAGTCAATGGCATAATATAAAAAAATATTTCACACTGTATCATATTTCATACAATATAAACAAGTATTTCATATGGTGGGTCGTGGCCAAAAATAGTCTGAGAGCCCCAAGTCTAGAGCAGGGCCTGATTCATGTTTTGCATTCAATAAATATTTGTGGAATGAATGCATGAATGAAAAAAAGAGAGGGTTTGGCAACAAGGAAGCAAGCAAGGATTGTGAGGCCCGTAGAAGGCAGAGGCAGAGGAGACAGGGTGGAAGTAAACTTACTTGTTGAGCTTTTTGTTTATTTGCTGGCCTTGGTCCCAAGTGAGAATGGAGAGCAACCATTTCTGTGATGGAGAAAGAATGGGATCTGGGAATACCCGCAGAGGCCAGGGTCAGCCCGTCTGCCCCTTCTCCCCCAGCCCCAGACCCCCACCTGGCTTCAACACAATGGCTCCCTCTCCTGTAGGTCACCCCTGAGGCCAGAGGACACAACCAGGACATCAGAAAAGAAGGGCCAGAAGAACTTACTTCAGAAACTTCAGATGGCCACTGCGCCAGGCTGGTGGTCAATGTCCACTCCTTAAAGCTAAGGGGAGGAGGGGACAGTGTAAGCATGGGTGGCCTGCTCTGCACAGCCCTACTTGTCTCCAGCCTCTAGTCCACTCACCTGCAGGCTTCCCGGCACACTGCCTGGCAGCCCAGCTCTTCCCGGACAAAGGACTGCTGTAGTTTGTAGTAGCAATACACTGAGGGACGAAGGAAGGGCAGTGTGAGAGCTGGGACCACTGGGCCCTTGCTGGAGGTCCCCGGGTCCCCAGGGGTGCTTCCACAATCTCATTTCATTATTTCTCCTCCCATTTTCCATAAACAATGGTTCTTTGGAAACAAGTGCTGCTTTGTTATGTCAAGAGACAGAGTATCATGGTAATTAAGGGCCCTGAGTTGAGGGTGAGGTAGCCCTTGGTTTGGGTCCACCTCTGTTAATCCTGGGAAGCGTGGGTTAAAGCACTAGGCTGCTAACTGAAAGGTCAGCAGTTCAAACCCACCAGTCTCTCCAAGGAGAAAGATATGGCAGTCTGTACCCTGAGAATTTACAACTTTGGAAATCTTATTGGGCAGTTCTACTCAGTCTTATAGGGTTGCTATGAGTTGGAATTGAGTCAGTGACAGTGGGTTTGTTTTTTGGTTTCTGTTAATCCCTTGTGTGACTTTGAGCAAGTCACTTAACGTTTCCAAGCCTTAGTTACCTCTTCTGTGAAAGGGTGCCATCAATAGTTCTTACCTCCTGGAGGTGACTGAGATGGTCAAGCTCTCAACATAGGCTGGGATGTAGCGTTGGCTCTTTAACTAGGAAGTATATTTGAGCCAGGCTTGATAACTGAAGTTAAAACTCCAGTTAAAGGCTCTTTACAGATAACTTCTTCAGGCAAAAGGCAATGGGGTAGGGACCTGGGAGCACTTAGTACAGGCCATTTCTGGGGCTGGGCTGACCCTGCTCCTGGGGTGTGCAAGACTGGGGGTGGGTCTCACTCACTCCAGTTGGGGTGCTGCTGGTAGTTGCAGTAGTTGGCTCCTTTAGGTAGAGGCTGGCTGTACTGGGCACACCCACATTTCTCCACCATCTTTGTCTGGAAGCATGAGTGAAGGCAGATCTGAGGAAGGAAAGCAGGGGATTCCCTTAATGTCTGTGCACCTGGATGTGAGTGAGTGCCTTCCTGACATGCCCCACATCCAAGAGGGTGGGCCTCACACAGCCTTGGCTGACCATGTGAACAAGAGTGTGGGCCTCACACAGCCTTGGCTGACCACATGAACATGCCCCTTACACCACAGCCTATTGGGCCAAGGGTGATTACCTAACCTCAAAGGGATGAAGCTAGGAAATTTATTGAGTATTTAGACTAATCAAGACCCAGAGACTGGGATGAGCTGGAGTTATGGTGGTCACTTTCCATCACATGAGTGCCAACGCTGAGAGAAGTCGGAAAATTGGAGCAGATGCCAAGAAATGGAGAGAAACAAAGACAGCCTCCAACTTTCCGATTTTCCAGCCCAAGTTGTCCATGCTGCACCTTTGGGGACCATAACCTCCCACACTACCTACAAACCTTGCAGGGCTATTTGGGTTCAAATCCCAGCTTTGCACCTACTAGCTGTGTGACCTCAAGCAAGTTACTTAGCATCTCTGATGCCTTGGTTCATCTTTGGAGTAAGTATAATAGTATCAACTTCATGTGGTTGTGGTGAACATGAAATGAATCAAGATATGTAAAGTGTACCTGGTGGCCTCTCATTAAATATTGTCCAGGAGTGTCTTTCCAATGAGTTTACTTTTTTGTGTGTATCTTTAAGTCAGTTTGGTTGAGTTTCTATTTCTTCTATTTCTTCTTACTCAGTGTTCCCACTTAATGCAAGCTGGAGAACTCAGCCCTGAGAAGCACCTGGTCTGAGTATTCTGCTGGGACGATTTCTGCTCATGCTGGGCACCCTGGTGGTAGGCTATCTCTGCTCCTTAGTGTTGCTGTACCAGAAATACCACAAGCGGGTGGCTTTCCCAAACCGAAATTTATCTTCACATGGTTCAGGAGGGTGGAAGTCTGAATTCAAGAGCACCCATTCAAAGGGGGAAAAAGGAGCTCTGGTGGTGTGGTGGGTAAGGCACTTGGCTGCTAAGCAGGTCAGTGGTTCAAACCCACTGGCTGCTCCGCAGGAGGAAGAGGGGGGCAATGTACTTCCATAAAGATTTACAGCCTTGGAAACCCAATGGGAGTCGCCATGAGTCAGAATCAACTCGATGGCAGTGGATTGGATTTGGTTTTGGGATATTGGTTCTAGGGGAAGACTCTCTGTCTGCTCTGGGGAAAATGCTTGTCTCAGTTTCTCTAGCCCTCTTCTCAGTTCCTTGGTGACCTCCATGTGGCATCTAGCCTTCCCCTTTGTTCTTGCTTCTTTGTGCCTAATCTGCTTTTTTTAATATCTCAAAAGTGATTAGGTTTAAAACACACCGTACATGGATACAGCCTTATTAACATAACAAAGAAACCCCAATTCCCAACTGGGATTACATTCTTAGGTAGAAGAGTTAGGGTTCCAACATATATATATATACACACACACTTTTTCTTTTCTTTTTTTTTGGAGTGAGGAGGAGTAGGCACATTCCATCAAACAGAGGCAAACTGCAGACCCCCAGAACATGAGATAAGACATTACAGATTATCAAGGTCAATGGTTGAAAACTCAAACACCTACAGGGGCCAGTGATGGGGACTGTGGGGAGCCAGAGAACATACACCTCTGTTAAAGACGCAGCTCCACCCACCATTCATTTTGCAGGCATACAAGCTCTATGCTGCCAAATCTTGTTTTTTCAAGAGAAGCTAGAAATCTGGATTTTCTTGTGAAAGTTCCTTACTTTAAAACATCATCCAGGCCAGAAAAACCAGGTCTATGTGACCTGGAAGTGGCCGAGGAGCTGCCAGTTAACAGCCCCTGCTCCGATCCAACCTACCTGATGATGGTTGTGGGTTACACAATCCACCCAACACCACCGGTAAGTGAGGGGTGCCAACAGGACTGGAAGGCGAGCTCCCAGAGCCAGTGCCTCTCCCAGCCACTTCCCTCCCACCCCTCACATGCCAAGGACATTTAACCCCAGCCCTGTCTCGGCTGTACATTGTGTTCCATGCAAACCTCAGTGAATCAATTAAGCTCTGGTTACAGATCAGCTGCAGAGGACTGGAACCAGCTGGCATCATTTGTTCTTGAGGTCTTTGGATGAACCCCAGGGATCCTCACCAGAGTTCCTGGTTCCAGTCCTGACCCAGCCTACCTTTGTCTCCTGGGTCCAGGCCACAAACCTAGGCTGGGCATCCCCACCAGCCCATACCTGGAGGGAGTAGGCAGTATTGTAGATGTTCGTGATTGGCACGTCCTTCCCATCCTCCGTGCACTGGCTGTAGGGTTCACTCAGCTTAAAGGACTCCGTCTGCAATCACACAACAGACATTCAGCTCTGCCTTCCCCAAGGACCCAGACAAGGGGCACTGCTGGCAGCCCCTGGGGGCCAAGTGGCCACTCCATTCACCACACACTCCTGAGCATCCACCTACTAGGTGCCTGGCACTGTTCTAGACACCAAGGGACCAATGTGTCCAAGACAGGTTCTTTGCTCTCCTGGAGTTGACATTCTAGTAGGGTAGACAGATGATCAACAAGCCAGTACGTAAATAAGATGATTTGGGAGAGTGATTAATGCTTCAAAAGAAATGCAGCTGGGTGGGGAGCCTGGAGAGGATGGGAAGAGGAACCAGTCTTACCAACAGAGTGACTGGGGACAGTGTCTCAGAGAAAGGGGCATGTCAGCTCAACACGGAATGGCAAGAAGAAGCTGGCCTTGCCAAAAGATGGAGGAAGAAGATGGGGCTGAGGGAGCAGCAAAGGCTTTTGGGAGGAGGGAGCCAGTGTGGCCAGAATGTGGCAAAGGGGGAGAAGTCGTAGGACATGAAGTCAGAGAGGGAGGTTGAGACTGAATCATGAAGGTCTCCTATGCTGGGCTGAAAAATTGGGGGTTGGTTTTCAGAATGATAGGAAGTCACTGGAGAGCTAGGAAAAAGGAGCAGTGATTGTGGCTATTGCAGTAAAAGTTCCACCCCCTACTCTCTTGTCTTCAGGACCCCCTGGAAAAAAGCTGACTTCCTTGGAGAAGGTTAAGGAATGCTCAACAGAAGGAATAAGACCCTTATCAGAGGAGGTAAAACCGGCATAATGCACAGCACGAAAACCATACAAAGTTATATTCTATTGTGGTTTACTAGAGTTTAGCTCTAGTTAATGTTTGTCACAGCAAATAAATAAGCCAGGCTGCCAGAAAAAAAAAAATAAAAAGAGGGGGTGGGAACAATAATTGATTATAAATCATGAGCAACTTGACAAGGACAAGGTTGTGGTAGCTTCTTGGCCACAGCCAGCTACTCAGAGGGAGCGAGTCGTTGGACCTGTGGGCTTGGAACTATGGCCGCAGGGGACATCAAGCTCAACTGGCATAACACACTACACAAAAACATTGTTCCACATCCTACTTTGGCGAGCAGCGCCTGGGATCTTAAAAGCTTGCAAGCGGCCATCTAGGTGCAGTGATGGGTCTCTCCTTATACAGAGCAAAGAGAAATGAAGAAAACCAAAGACACTTGGAACAATTAGTCCAAGGGACTGGTACACCATGTGATCCTCAGCCTGTATGACTATGAGACCAGAAGAACCAGATGGTGCCTGCCTACCACTATCAACCACTCAGGGGGGGATCTACGTAGGAGACCCTGGATAGAGTGGGAGAACAATGTGGAACAAAACTCAAAATCATAAAAAAAAAAAAAAAAAAAGGACCAGGTTTGCTGATCTGATAGAGCCTGGTGAAACCCTTGAGACTATGTCCCCTAGCTGGCCTTCAAGTCTGGAATTGAACCCGCTCTTGTGGCTTTCAGCCAAACAAAAGACAGGCATATGAGCTGAACATTTACATTAGGTAGATACACTACTTGAAAAGCTCAATCATGGGAAAATAGAAGGGCTGTGTATGCACAGGGAGACAGCTTGGGGGGCAGGAGTGCATGGTAGGGAAGGACACAGGGAAGAGGTAACTACTATCAGGAGGAAGTGGGAAGAGAGCTGTTGCATTGTGGGAAATTGCAGTCAGTGTCATGAGACAAAGTGTATGTGAGCTGCTGTATGGAAAGTGAATTAGCTTTGTAAACTTTCACCCAAATCACAATAAAAATTAAAAAAAAAAACAAAACACAAGCAGCTTATAGCTAGGTTCTGTGTGTGTGTGTGTGTGTGTCTTCTGGAAGGGAGAGTAAACAGAAAAAAGAAGGTAGGTTTATAGGAGAGGAAAAAAATATATATATTTTAGAAGATGTGGCCAGACAAGAAGACCCATCATGGAGAAAAGAGAATGGTGAAGACTGGAGATGTCTCAAGTGGCTATAATCGCTTTGTGTTTTCTTTGTACTGTAATTCACTTGACGCCCCATTAGTCTTCCTCAATTAACCTCAAGTATCTCAAGGGCAGTTGACAGGATTCGTTTTGACATATTTAAACAGAAGCAAACGACAGAGAAAGCAGCCGTCTGACTCCCAGGCTCCCTGTGCTAACATATCATGCCCAGCCTCTCACACAGAGAAGGGTATAACCACAGTCATTTTGCCAGTACCCTGCCCTTCTTACCAACAATCAAAGGTGAGTGTCTTTCCATATCAGTACAGAATAAACAGACTTCATTTCTTTGCTGAAAAAAACAATGCCATGGAGTTGATCCTGATTCACGGTGACCCCATATGGGTCAGAGTAGAACTGTGTTCCATAGGGCCTTCACTGGCTGGTTTTTCAGAAGTAGATTACCAGGCCTTCTTCAGACTTGAACCTTCAATCTTTCAGTTAGCAGCCAAGTGCATTAACCGTTTGCACTACCCAGAGACTCCTCGTTCCTTTAATAGTTGGAAGTAAACACTATGAGAGCCTCTAGTACCTACCAGGCACTGGGCAGGGAATTGGGCTGCAAAGATGCTAAGCAGCGGCTTCCCTCAAGAGCACTGCAATTCAATGCCATCCTCTAAGCCTCTCCAAGCAGCAGCCCTCTGAGCAGCTGTTCCTCTGAACCCTAGGGCCTAGGGTGTCCACAAAGCCTAGATGTCAGCTCTACCTGCCTCAGGCAAAGAAATAAACCACTGTGGCATCTAGGTGAGAGGTGGGTTCACTCAGGCAGCGGTGGGAGGCCAGCAGAGGTCAGTGGGGCTCCCTTGACTTTGAGAACAGCCCATGGGCCACTTCCAGGAACCTACTGGAGAAATCATTTTGATTTCTATGTTTTCTGATTACTCACTGGCCCTTTATTCTATAACAATGCTTATGTAACCCAGAGCTCCTGGGTGGTTCAGGTTGCTTCTTGAAGCAACTGGGTGTAGGGGAAAATGATTCTTTCTGGATAGAATCCAGATCTTCAGTGTCTCAAAGCCTCAACTTGATGGACTGTGACAGAACACACACACACTCTCTCTCTGTCTCTCTCTCTCTGTCTCTCTCTCTGACACCATCAGCTTTCCAGAACTGCAGATCTGTGGATCCTGGGGTAACATTTTGGCTTCTGATCTGACCCCTCTAAACCAAACCAAACTCACTGCCAACAAGTCAATTTGACTCACAGCGACCTCTCTTTTGAGTTTCCAAGGTGGTGTCTCTATGAAAGTAGATTGCCCAGTCTTCCTTCCAAGGAGTGGCTGGTGGGTTTGAACTGCCAGCTTTCTGGTTAGCAGTCAAATGTCTTAGGTACTATACCACTAGAGTTGAGCCCAATACTTGTAAAGTGCTTAGGACAATGCCTAACACATTGCAGGTTCCCAATGAAGGCTAATTGCAACTACTCCTATATGGATGCTCTCAACGCATGTCCCCAACCATTTCTGATACAATATAAATGACTAATGTCCCCAAATTTTACCTCCAGCCAAGATCTTACTCCTGGGGCCAGCCTAACAACTGGTCATCTCCCCTTAGATCACTCATAAATCCCTTAAATTCACCGCATCTATGGGAGACTGCAAACAATGGCCCAAATCCTACCCTCTCATAAAGAGGGAGGGTCTATTTCCCACCTTCTGAACTTGGGTTGGTCATGTGATTTAAACTTTGGCCAACAGGATATTAATACATAGGATGCAAACAGAGATTTGAAAAGTGCCTGCACACTGGAGCTTGCCTTCTCTTGCTGAACTTAGAAGGCTGAGACTGCCATGGGAATGAGCCCAAGCTAGCCAGCTGGTGGATGAGAGGTCACATGGAGGAGAACCACGGTGCAGTGAACCTCAAAAGTCTCAAAAGCCATGAATGAGTCCAGTTGAGATTATCTGAGCCTTGTCTTGACCAGAAGACTTCCCAGATGAGCCCAGCCCAAACTGCCAACCCACAAATGGCAAGCTAATAAGTGGTTGTTATGTTAGGCCAGAAAGATTTGTGGTGGTTTGAATGCCACAAAATACAACTGACATGTTGCCTAACCCTCACCTGAAACCTGTCCAGTCTCCTATATTTCCCATATCAGCTAATGACACCCCATCTATCCAGTTACCAAAGCCAGAAACCTGAGCATCATTCTAGATACTTCTCTCCTTCATCCTATTCAGATGCCTTAGAAATTTCTCTTGATCGGTTGTCTCCTCACCATTCTTGTTCTCACTGTCCTAGCTTGGCCCTTATCTTCTTTCACCCGATGACTGAGAGTCTCCCGTGGCTTCTGCTGCCTCCACACTTTCCCTTGCTCAGTTGCTCTTCCACCTCCCACCACTTATGCTTCTGAATCACAGATCTAAACATGTCTCTATTGCCTGGTGATTCAAATCCAGACACCTCAGCCCTGCCTCAATTGGCTTCAGTCTACTTTCCAAGTCCCACCTCTCACTCAATTCATTTCAAATACTGACTGTGAGCTTAAAATGTACCAAGCCCTGCATTACAGGGAAGCAGACATTGTACTTGTAATTAGAAGTATATACTATAAGGATTTAATATATGATGGTAAACTCTACATTCATCAAACAAAATAACATATTGCTGTGAAAATTGGAACTGTGGAAGACTATTTAATGCCAGGAGAAAATGCTTATGATATCGTTTGAGTTGGTGGGGGGCAGATTATAAAACAGGAGGATCCCATTTTTGTAAAAACAAAACAAATAAACAAACAACAACAAAACATAGAGAGAGTGGGAAGACTTTGCCCTAAATGAGACTATGGGTAGCTTAACTTTTCTTTTTTATGTTTTTTTTTTTTTTTCAATTTTTATTGTGATTTGGGTGAAAGTTTACAGAGCAAGTTCATTTCCCATACAGCAGGTCACACACACTTTGTCTCATGATATTGACTGCAATTTCCCACAATGCAACAGCCCTCTTCCCACTTCCTTCTATGTTGTTCTTATTTCATAATAAGAAAG